CTAATGCTGCCTGTCTGCTGTGCTCCTCCAGCTCCACACTGTGTTACCACATTTCCATTCAGCCTGCTTATATTTCTGTTTAAGTGCCCCATACAGTCTTAGAGCCATGGCTTTGTGAGCTACCATATCTTTGCTAGCCATTTGTTATCCTCATATTAAGGCCTCGGTGATTCTCACTTGTAAGATCAACACCTCGCCAAACCAACCCCCACACCTCCCTGGTCTGTGCTATGCTCCATGAAATCGTATCCCTTTGTCCTAATGTGCCTCTTTTCACCACCATTATTCCCTCAGTGACCCAGTCCAGTGAACCCCAATCCCAGACTTGAGCATCCTATTTTCCCTCAGTTTGCACAGATTACCCCTGATGTGGTCCCATTTTTGAGCAGCCCCCAAAGAGTGACTGTGGCCCATCCTCCACACTAACTTGTGAGGTCAGCCCTGACTGAAGAGGACCCAATCTCCAGCCTGATGTCTCCACAGCAGCCTAACTGATCTACTTGTGATCGCCAGGCTGGATACACTAGACCTGCAAGACTGATCATGGCTGAACCCCTAGACTGCAAGGATGCTGATCCTCAGACTCTGGTCAACCAAGTCCCCGACTGACTATGGCCAATCCCCTGCACCAAGATTGGATGAGCCCCTAGACTAAGTTGCGGCACTCCTTGACTGACCACAGACTCTTTCATGGCACTAAGGACTAATCCCCTTTGAATTTCAGGTATGGCCATTGTATAAATCACATGCAGTGCGTTTGCCACATATATTGCAGACACACACTAAGTTTGCAATTAATGTAACACTACTGTACATCAACATGTCCTACCCATGAATGTTCAGTGCTCCCAACTGCACTGCTTGTCTCTCCATCTCTACACAAAACAGCAATGCAAATCAGAGGTCTGAGTCAGTGCAAAACGTGTGAATAGGATAGTCACTGCTGTTCAGCAAGATTCTGAACTCACTTATGAAACCTTGAAACTTTTGAACATTCGAAGAATTGCTCAGAAATCAGACTTTTTCATTCTCATTGTATTTCCCAATTTGCTTATCATTGCGTGCAACTGGAAGTTCCACCCTATGTTCTTTTGTTATCAAGTTTTCCAGATGTGGGTTATCTACACATCAACCAGTACTATGTCCAGTAAAATTAATAATGGATAAACAATGCTTCAAAATCCTTGAAAGAAGACATTTTGAGAATGGCATATTCCTCATCTTGCATTTATTGTGTTAAATTACACTTAGGCTATCAAAACGGTTGACTAAAAATTGAAGTTATGTTTTTTTAGAAATTGCCATGCATCATTTTTAAAATAGAGAGAATTGTTTATTAATCCACAGAATATTTTATGTATTAATCCATACCGTACTTAATAGATGTATTAATCCACACTATCTTATTAATAAAATTCCATTTTGTCACACTCTGCAAATGATGTATTTGCCTAACAATAAATAAAGCAATTTATGCTAATTAAACACTCTTTGAAAAATGTGTAATCAAGTTTGATTTAATTAAAAGTCAGACTCTTTACAGCATCTATAATCTGTAATGATAATAATAAAGTCTCTAAGTGTGCAGATTAAGATGAAAGTAAGTTTCACTCTGAAGACGTTACCATACATAAAGATGAGACAGTCAACTGCAGAGTAAAGAATTACTATATTTCAGCTTGTTCGAGTGAAATGATTTATTTTCTCTGACACTCACAGCTCTGCAGAAATGAGAATGAATATTTCAAGCAATTTAAAACTGCACAGGATGAGCCTGGGCTACAGCCTGTGCTCATTAATACACTAAAAAAAAGTGTTTATTGTTTCTCCTCATTCACATTACTCATAAAGAAAGTATATTTCATTTTAATTATACTCATATATTGTTTAAAAAACACAATAGTCAACATAATCATTATCTTTTCCAAGAGGCTGTCCAAAAAGAGGATCACTTACCCAAAAATATTGACAACTTTCAGAATGCACAGTAACAGCACACAACACCACAATTCCTCAACAGGAGCATTTCTGCTTTCTGGCCAGTCACTTACAGGGCCAAGTGCCGTGTATCCTTTTTAAGGTTCAAATGGGACACTATCTGACACGAGAGTCAGGATCTTTAATCTAAAGACTAGTCAGAATGTTTTTTGTTATAGGATTAGTGATCCCAGGAATGTTTAACAGTTACTTTGTTTCTATCAGGCACTAAAATTGCATTCTCTAGTAATGAAATATTAAAATAAAGCCTCAGATGGTCAAGAATCTGGGCTTGTCCTTTGCTCATTCAAATTGTTCTGAAGAGGGGACAAGCTAAGCAATGGTCACTGGGGAGATGATCTCAGGCCCTCAGCCAGGAGCATTGAAACTCTTGTGCGCCATAAATATTGGGCAGAAAATTCTGATTCAGCCACTGGAGCACATACCTATGAAGGGCATTTTCCAGTTTCTGATAGCTGCTGTGATCAGGCAAACTAGTATAGAATCAGGAAAATCTCACCTCTCACCTCCAGCCCATCAACTAACTGCTGCTGTACCAATTAACATTCATGTCACCTTGATTTTTAGTCAGAATTCAACAGCTACCTCCAAGTAAATTGGGAATAAGTTGTGCATGAAGATGAACTCATGTTGCACACAAGTAGACTGCAGGCAGCCCAGCACTAATATTATTCTTGATATGCATTTTAGTAAGGTCAAGGTAATCAATAGTGAATCTATAACTTCAGTATAACACTGACAGCAGAAATGCAAATGTCACTAAGGTGACATTTCAAAAGTGAATTTCAAAAAGTGAGCAAAGCTGTGAGATACTCGTATCCTTCTGTGATGTACTGCAATGCCACAACATCATACTTACACCACATTAACCTTGGTTTCTCTTGTCAGCTGTTTCTGTATCAGAAAATGCAGTGATGGTACAATGGCAGGAGTTTTGACCTTGCATAATAGGTTGGTTTGGGTTAGGTGGGATGTAAACAGTTTTAAATTCTTAAACCAAACCTATTCATTTCTGGACTCAATAGTAGGACTAAGGAATGGGTGATCAATTAGTTCACAGGATTTGAATCATTGGTTTAAACACTTTATTAAAGTCACCTGTCCCAGATTTTATGCATTCCAGATTTAACCTCAGCCTAGTAAATCCAGCAGCTAAAGGGAGCTCAGAACTGGAGTGGGTTTGGCCTCCAGCAAGGTGTTTTTACATTATGTAGCAGTTCATATGTTATCTCTCATAACATAAAAACTGTGTGTGGCTATCATGATATTGAATAATCCATCAGGCATTGCAGTAAACATTTTGTACAAATATTACATTCCGCAGACACAAGGTGTCTGGGTTAATGCTAACCTATAAGATTACATAGAAAAACATGTTCTTAGTAGAGTATGATGTTTAAGTGATCTGAAGCAAGAGGGAATATGAGATCTTTATGGTCTCAGGTCACATGCTATGATACAGAGATATTTCATGACTACATCCCCTTGTGGTACACTGATATGCTGACTGTGAAACATAACCCAAAAAAAGAGCTGCTACATGTGAGAGGTTAGTAATTTTTCCAGCAGTGAGCCAAGAAGAGAGCTTCTCTCCTTCCCCCGCCCAAACTAATCTGCAATTTGATTTCTGCTGTGTTTGTGGGATGTTGCCTATGTTGGAACAGTTGATAATTAGTAGTTAAATAATACATTATCTTATTAAGTATTTCAATAAAGTTATGCCATTCTTCTTCCTGCTGTATTTTAATCATGTTGCAAGAATAAAGTGCGTTTTGCTTAAAGCTTAGTGGTGGACCAATCGAATCATATCTGGAACATAGTGCCTTACGCTCTCTTTCTCAAAAAAAACATAAAAGTTAGTGTCTAGGCTATTGGACATAGCATACTTTTGTCAGGGGGGGGGATGGGTCCTAGTCTGGTCTGATGCAGTCCATAACACTAGTCCCACTAAAGATTGAAGGAGATTTCACTATATTCTTAGTCAATGTGATGTGAGAAATAACTTAGATAATTTCATTAACCAATAGAATAAATTGTGCTGACTATTTCCAACCTCAGGTGCTTTGCACTTATTTTTTCTTGTTACAATGTTTCAGCCTTTCTCTCTATTTGTGCTGTTGTTCTTTTTTCCCCAGCTTTGCTATTTTTCCCTTAACTCTTCCATTCTTATTTTTTAAAAATAACTTTTGACCCAAATGAACCACTGCTGTAAACATCACGCTTATGAACAATAGGTTTGCTATAGAGTTTCACAAATATGGGCCATTGTTTTAATCCACTTCAATCCATTGGAAGAGACTAAAGAGGAAGGGTCACTAGAGCGAAACATTAATTCTGATTTATCTTCACAAATGCTGCCAGACCTGCTGAGCTTTTCCAGTCATTTGTTTTTGTTTCTGATTTACAGCATCCGCAGTTCTTTCAGGCCAAAGTACTCGACGCTTTCCAAACTCATGTTGAGTGAATTAATTTCACAAATACCTTGTGTCAGGAAGAATAACCTTCACCTTGATGGTTTAATTTCATGTCAAGCTGAACAGACATTGTTCCTGTCACAGAAATGAGTAGTATGCTATATGAACTTCAGTGGTGCTGTGGTACCAGCTAAACAGGGCCATATGCCCCAATTACCGAGGACTATCAAACAACACATCCACAGCATGCAGCATGGGCGCGCGAGGCAAGTACAAATCAGTTGAACAGTTATTTCAGGAGTTAAATTATGTACTCAATAGTCTGAGTACTATTTTACTTATCTGCGTCAGAATCCTCTGAAATCTGATTTTTATCAGAGGGTTCCAAGTGTAGAGGAATTGCCCAGAGGAAAATACAGGAAAATACAGAAAATTCCATCAGTGTCTGGTGCCTGCAGTGTCCCTATGCACAACTCCCATCTACATTGGATTAACAATTATCTGACCAGTGGAAAACCTGGGCTGATATTATTTATAGTATCGCAGATCATACAAAGTTTTCAGTAAATCAAAGTTCAAAGTAACAAGTAATCTTTAATTGAAAGTTTATTTACACATTTAAACATCAGAAAATGTTTAAACACTTGTAATATTTATGATCAGTTCCAAATTTAATATTAAGTTGAAAACTACATGCATTGTACTATTTGATTGTTCACACAACACAAAAAAAATTCATGCATTTATAAACAAAGTTAACTTTATTAAAAACATGGACAGGTAGATTACTGCAGTATTGAAGATGTTAATTAAAAACGTGAAAACCTTAGCCTAGGTAGTTCTAGGAAAAAATTATATTGATAACCATGATCAACAGTCAATGAGTTAATCAATCACCTTAAAGTGTGATTGTTCATTTGCCCCTGAGGATTCAAGCTTTTTTATTTCCAATTTCCTTCATAGGTCATATTGTAGCTTGTTAAAGAATGCTATGCGATTCAGTGCTCCTCCTGGTCAAAAAATTGTTCGATTAAGTTCATCTTAAAATATAACCATCTTAAACAAAGCTAGCTTTCAACTCGATTCCAGTTCAGCCTTAGATTGGTGCAACATGTCATCATTGGTGTCAACACAAGGCCGCATATTTAAGACAGATGAGATGAACGCTATACTCTCAAACTGTCATTCTCTTTCCCAGAAGGTATTGGAGGCTGGATCTTTAAAGTTATTCAAGGAGGAGTTTGATAGATTTTTGATAGGGAAACAAGGCAAGGGTAATGGGGTGAAGATAGGAAATTCGAGCCAGGACCACAACCAGATTAGTCAGGATCTCACTAAATGGCAGGATGGTCCTGACAGGGCCAAATGGCTTACTCCTGCTCAGTCCTATATTCCCAGGTTCATGTGAATTATAAAACAGCCTTTTCTTTGCTGTTCTTTTCCCCCCCACCGAAGTCAAGGAGTAAAGCTCCTACGGGCAAAAAAAACTGACTGCATACAATGGGTTTTTAAACAGGTAATCAATATACATTAACAAGTAATTGCAGGAGAATGGAATGCTCTTTTATATTTAATATTTGTGACTGCATTTCTATACTAAATAGAAATGCTAAAATCTTTCCCATTATTCAAACTAACATCAAACCAAATCTCAAGACCACTACACATAATTTCACTTGCACCAACAATAAAACACCAGACAATTAACGTAAGCCTAAAGACTGCAGTCTTATTATTGGTCCCTCTGCATTGTTTTGCAATCTGAAGAGATGATCTAAATTTCATTACAGAAATACATCAAGTTAAGAGTTTTGTGCTTTTAAAAGTGCAAATGGCAAAAAAAACCTGCAGCAAAGTGTGATGTGACTTGAACAGTCTCTTGGTAATCAAACATTTTAGGACACTTTAAAAGAAAAAAACTGGTTGTTTATTTACAGGAAATCCATTCAAGTACAACAACTGTAGACACTTCTAATCATGTTTTCCACTCTATGGGGGCTATGCACAAGGCATCAATATTAAACCCATTTACAATATCTAATAAATATATTCATTCTTCTAAACTACCTTTCATTTACATGCACTAATTTATTATTTGAAGGCTTTTTTGCCTCTTTAATGAGGTAATATTTGTCATGAAACACAAAGTCAGCTGTTGAATTCCAGAGATTGAATACATGCGAAGATGAAAGCCCCGACACTTCATTCTGTAGAATTCTCTGCCAAGAATTAGTTAGTTATTCAGCTCATCTTGCAGTCTGGAAATTAAATTATAATATTTCTTATTTCTTAGTGATTTGGTATTTGATTTCCAGATGGCTATTCTAAGTTTGTGAATAAATAAATGTTGACAATGTATTCTTCCTGCTGCCTCGGAAAAGCAACCAAAATAAACAAAGACCACACCCACTCCAGTTATACTCTCTTCCACCTTCTTCTGTTGGACAGAAGATAAGAGATTTTGTATTCACGTGCAAACAGATTTAAGAACAGCTTCTTCCCTGCTATTATCACACTTTTGAATGGACCTCTCATGTTAATATTGATCTCTATCTGCACCTTCTCAGCAGCTGTAACATTGTACCCTGTACTCTGTTCCATGACCCTGACACACTTGTACAGTACAATCTGCCTATAAAGCACGCAAGTCAACACTTTTACTGTACCTCTGTACACATGACAATAATAGATCAAATCAAAATCAGCAGCAATATTCTAATAAATTAATACCTTCAGTAATGTTACAGATTATTTTATATTCTGTACAAAAATATAAATCAGTGCCATCTAACATTGAGGGGTGATCATTTCAGAACTATTAAGCACAAGGTTGGTCACTAATTGGCGTGTGCGTAAATAAGACTTGAGGCCACATTTAGAAGAGTTCACAACTTGATCATCAGCTCGTCTGGTATCATATCCATTGGAAAACAGTTCTTCATTACATGGGAGTTCATTGTCTTTGATATTCTACACCGGCTAATGTCTGTAAAAATCGCCACTGTTTGCAATCTGGTTGACTGCACTCATGACAAATGGCTCAACCTGCTCTCAATCATTTGGATCTACTTGGTGTCATATTTTGTTGAAAAGTCAACTTGCAACATTAACTCCATTTCTTTCTCCATTGATTCTGGCAGTATTTTCCATGTTGATTTAGGATTGTTCAGTATTTTTCTTTTGTTCGTTGCTTCAGGTTATCAGGACAAATTAACATAAGCATTGTATTCAAGTCCATATAAGGCCGTAAGATATAGGAACAGAATTAGGCCATTTAGCCCATCGATTCTGTTCCACCATTCGATCATGGGTGATATGTGTCTCAACACCAATTCTCCTACCCTCTCCTCATAACCTTTGATTTCCTTACTAATCAATAACCTACATCCGTCTTAAATACACTCAATGATTTGGCCTCCACAGCCTTCTATGGCAACGAGTTCCAGATTCACCACCTTCTGGCTGAGAAAATTCCTCATTTCAGTCCTAAAAGGCTATCCCTTCACTCCGAGGCTGTGCCCCCAGATCCTAGTTTCTCCTACTAGTGGAAACATCTCCTCCATGTCCTCTCAGTATTCTGCAAGTCTCAATGAGATCCCCAGCATCCCTACATTTCTAAACTCCATTGAATACAGACCTTAAGTCCTCAACCACTCCTCATATGACAAATGCTTCATCCTTGGGATCCTTCCTGTAAACCGCCAGTGGATCCACTCCAATGCCAGCACAACCTCCTTAGATGCAGACCCAAAGAGGCTCACAATATTCCAAACTCATCCAACCAGAGCCTTCTACAATACCAGCAGTTAGTCCCGGCTATTGTATTCTTAACCTCTCGAAATGAATGCTGCATTGCATTTGCCTTGCTAACTGTCAAAGGAACCCTGTATGTTTACCATAAAAGAATGCTAAACGAGGACTCCAAAGTCCCTTTGTGCTTTGGATTTCTGAAGCCATTTCCCATTCAGAAATGGTTATGTCTCTATTCTTCCTACTGAGGTGTATAACCTGTTTTCCCACACTGAATTCTATCTGTCACTTCTTTGCCCACTCTCAGCCTGTTCCGGTCCTTCTGCAGCCTCTCCACTTCCTCAACAGTACTTGCCCCTCCACCTATCTTTGTGTAATCAACTTTTCAAAAAGGCAGCTCACTGCACTAGGAGAATAAAGTCATCTTCATTCACAGACTTGAGGAAAATGATTGGGTTTAGCTCACATCTCATGGACTATTCTATTAGGTGAACTTATCACAATTAAATTATTTTAAAATTACAAAAACACCATGTCATATTCCTCCCTCAAAGATGTCCATGTGTGTGTTTTGGTTGCTGTACTAACCTTGATAAAATCTCAATGCCAGATAATTCTACTGAAAATTAAGACATAGAAATGCTAACGAGCAAGCATTAAAACAAAGTCATTAAGAGATGTGATATCTAAACAATGATAGACATTACTTGTCATAAAATATTTAACTTTTCATAGGCTCTCTCAGAACAAATGTAATGCAGTTTATAACCTAAACCTAGCACCAAGTACATCCTAAAGATATTGAGATTGGAGTTATATTTCCACATGCCTTTGGAATGGTTTTTAACCTTGCAGCACTATGCTTATAAGTCTAGATTGGTTGCAAGTATACCATTTAAAAAGAGTGACTTATGTTTCAAATATAAAGATCAAATGCACAAAAAAAAAACAATAATAATTATGGAATACATATACAGCTTCTATACAATAGTTCAGTCACACTTCCCAAAAACGAAAGCACACTGGTTTAGTACCAAATTATAAGGCTACATAAACTGAATTAGATGCAGCATCGCAACACAAAATGCAAATAATCCTTCAGTTAGTTTTTCAGTTTCCATAATTTAGTATCACTATTAATGTCTGTGATTGGTTTTAAGATTACATCGTTAGATAAAAATATTAGCATTCACAAGTCAAAAATTAATTTATTTTCAAACAAACTATCATAAAGGAAAACAAGGCAGTATGACATACGGCGAAACTGATTTTAAAAACCACTTAGCCAACCATTTAGTGTGTGTGTTTTTTTTCCCCAAAAATGGAATAGAACAGTACCATAAAGGGGTCAATAGACCAGTTTCGCTGTACTGAGTTCACAAAAATGTATTTGCAAGTATTGACTTGTTAATGTCAATATTCCACCACATCACAGTCCAGATTGCACTTCTGTCCATCAAAAGGCTGCTGTTATACTTCCAGGATTACTTCACAATGCAAACATCAGGTTTAACACGTGGAACTAGTTCACCAATTGGCACATTATTTTAATTCTTGCTTTCTTCTAGCTTTTCTTCTTCTTCTATTTTAAAGAAAAGCAGTGGAAACATTCCTAAGATGCAACCAATGATCACACCTATAACCTTGCCCTGAAAAAAAAGGAAAGAAAGATCAGGATTCTTTTTAAATAGGTGGAATATGAAAATGAAGTAACTCACATTTCAAAAGGCAGATCATCAAGCGAATGGGTTTGTTCCCCAATTTTAATGGAGGCCTCAATTATTTTTTTCAAGTGTTGAACATATCTAAAATTAGTCACAAGAAGCTCTCAGTAGGTGAACTTTAGAGCATACACTGACCCCATGACACCTCCATTCCCAGCTCCACATCCAGTTTTATCTTATTACACACCAGAGCATTTTTATATTAACTGCCACCAAATCCCCCATGTTACTAATTAAAATCACAATTTACAAGCAAGCCCATTAGGCGCAGTACAAGAATAACAAAAGTGAGGGAAAGGCAGGGAGGGGACTAAATTAAAATCAGTTTTGATGGGGAAAGAATGCACTCCAACCCCTGCCTATATTCAGTTTTATCTTAGGGCCCAAGCCCAGCCTCAATTAAAATGCTCAACACACTGCCATGACCTCAATTACAGATCAGATCAGTCACTCACTCACTCACTAAACCCACTTCAAACTTTCCAAATTCAGCAATTGCCCCCAAGATAACAAGAGAATACCCATTGTGTGTCCCTGGCTTTTGTGGTGTAGTAGTAGTGTCCCTACCTCTGAGCCAAGAGGCCCAGGCTCAGGTCCCACCTGCTCCAGGCGTGTAACAACATCACTGAAAAGGTTGATCAGAAATATAGACCCACATCCCTGACCCCAGTTACCCTTCACAGGACCTAATGCTGACCCTAACAGCACAATTCATGACCCAAACACAACTTCATTTATCATTACGTTCCACATTGCAACCGATCAGACCTCATATTACCCAGTTCCAACACTATTTACAGCTCTGTGTCTCCAGCATGGATTCAGCTAAATCTCAGTCCTCCACCACTGCTGCCTATTAAATCTCTCTTTAATAAGCTCCTAACCAAACACAAGTTAGACCAGACAGCACTAACTGACATTAGTGAGATCTTGCAACGTCCAGGTAGTTCCTCCAATCATAGGAGCAGGAGTCGATTTGGTCCTTTGAGACATCACTGCCATTCTATTAGATCATTGATGCTCTGTACCCGGCCTCTCTTTATGTGCTGTCAATCCATATAACTTCATGCAACTTATTTAGTTAAGCCAAAAAAGTGTGCAAACAGCCTGGTTGAGCATCAGTCAGTGATGAGGAAGAAGAATAGTCATTGGTGAGGAGACAAGATGAAGTTTGCATCAGGGATTCAAGATTTGCTAATTTTTAAAAATTCATTGATGGGGCGAGTGGACTGCTGGCTAGGCCAGCATTTACTGCCCATCCCCAATTGCCCAGAGGGCAGTTAAGAGTCAACTACATTGCTGTGGGTCTGGAGTCACATGTAGGCCAGATCAGGTAAGGATGGTAGTTTCCCTCCCTCAAGGACATTAGTGAACGAGATGTTTTTTTTTTTTTTAAAATGACAATTGACAATGGATTCATGGTCATCATTAGACTCTTAATTCCAGATTTTTACTGAATTCAAATACCACTACCTATGGTGGGATTTGAACTTGGGTCCCCAGATCATTACCTGGATTCACAGTGCAGTGATAATAGCACCGGGCTATTGCCTCCCCTGTCATAACTCTCAGACAGAGGAAACTGTTGCTCACCCAGTTATGACATCTACACTGTCTAAAGTGCCATGCTGAGTCAAGAGTGCTGGGGTCTGGCTCCCGGTCATTCCCATACATGTGAAATCTGACATGTTTTTGAATGATGTTGATTAGCCATCATGTAGATGAGAAGTAAAAGAATGGGGCCAAGAATAGATCCTTGGCTGAAGTCCAAGGGAAAGTTCCAGAGGGAAGACACTGCAGATGTTCCTCTGGCTAGGATTAGATAGGTAAGGATAGGAACAGGCAAGGTCAGTTGGATGACAGAGAGAAACAATGAAGGGCAGTGATGTGATCAATCACATCTAAGGCTGCAGACAAGTCAACAGGGATCAGGAAGGATACAGTCCTGTGGCTACATCTACGCAGAATCTTACTACAACCTATCCTAATAAAAAACCTCAGACCTCAAGATCGAAAATTTCAATTGACCCAGCAGCTAGTCTTTTGTGGAACCAAATTCCATAGCACTTATGCTCCTGATTTCACTCCTGAATGACCCTGCTCTAACTTTAAAGTTATAATCACCCGTGAATTGGATTTCCAGATAACACTGAATATAGTTTCTCCAATTAACAGAAGACCAAGAGATGACCCAATTAGGGCAAAAACGCACTAAAGTGGTTCACCTGACACGTAAAAGATGTTTTGAAACGTGGAGAAGCTCAAATCTAAGAGGTCATAAATCTAGGATGGACACAAAGATATCCACAATGGATTCAGGAGAAACGTCAGGGGGTTTTACTCCTAATTTACTCAGGAGGATGAAGATGTGGAATTCACTACCACATGGGGTAACTAAAGCAAATGGTGAAAATGCATTTCAGGGAGGTTAGATAAGTACTTGGGTTTCATAACCCCACCACCCTGTGGATAACAAAATCTACTTAACAATCCTCCAATCATTCTACATTTACTCTTTACCTACGAATCCTAATTATAGATTTCTCTGCTAAGGGAAACAGGTCCAACAACTCAATGCCCCTTGATATTTTGTAGACCTTATTTAATTTGACCCTCAATCTCTCCCCCCCCACCCCGCCCAAGGTATACAATCCAGCATCACCAATTTTTCCTCATTGCTACAATTCTCCATTCCAGCCAACATCCTTATAAATCTCCTCCGAACCTGCTCAAGTACAATCACATCCTCCCTACAATGTGGTAACCAGAACTGTATGCAGTACTCTAGCTGCAATCTAACTGGCATTTTATACGGTCCTAACACACAATTCCTGCTTTTGCCACTAAAAGAAAATATCTTTTATCTTAATCACTACGTCTTTCATACCTACTACCTCAAGGAATCTGCATACATGCACACCATAGTCTTCCGCTATCTAAACGTCTCAGTACCTTACGTTTATTCCTTGCCTTGTTTAACCTCCCTAAATGCATTAGCTCACACTTCTCTGGACTGAATTTCATTGTCTCCTTTCTGCCCACAGGATCAATCCAGTCTTCCAGTCTATAGTTTTCTTCATCATAAACCATGTCAATAATTTGTAAATTTCTTCATTGCACCCCTACATACCACAGCCACCATGAATATCTAGGGACCCAGTGCCATTGAGCTCCTGCAGAACTCCACTGCAAACAACCTTCCAGTCACAAACACCCATCCGCTAATATTTTGCTTCCTGTTGCTGAGCTAATTTTGGATCCAAATAACTATCTTTTCGTGGAACAGATGCCCTTTAATTTCCAGCTGGTCCCCTATGTGGAACCTTGTTTCTGTGCGGAGCTGACTCGCAGCCTGCGTCACCTTCATAATTAAAACAAAAAGTGCTGGAAATACTTAGCAGGTCTGACAACATTAAGCTTAGAATATTAAAGGTGTTTAAAAGAATCACGTTGGCTGAAGATAGAGAAACAGAGCAGAGTGAAAATCAAGTTAATGATGTTTTTCATCAGAAAACTGGGAAGGCAGCCTGGGGTGGGGGGGCAGGGGGTTGAAGCGAAGAGATTGAGGAAAAATGGAGTTGAGGTTCTGAAATCCAGTGAAATGTCCGAATATAAGTAAATATGTCATTTCAGAGCAAATCTATGTTTTATTTGTAACATTATTACTTTTTCTCACATCTGTTTTTCCACATAGTATTTGAAATTTGCAGTGATGAAGTGGCTGTACTTTTTCATCGAAGTTTCTCCACAAATGAGTACACATCACACTAATGCCCATGTATGACATTTGGAGCAATATGAGGACAAGTGGTGAGTGAATATGCTTTGTTTCTCTTTGAGCTGGTCACAAACGGGACAAGTAGAAAATACAAATAAGAGGTGTCAACTGGAACCAACTGGAAGTATAGAAACTGAAAAAAAAACTAGCCTCAATTCCCACTTGAAACTAGGTCCAACACATGCAACTAAACTGGCTTTTGCTAAAATCTGTACAGACTACATCAAGTATGCTACCCTATTTATCTTTGATATCTCAATATTCTTAGCTAAATGAATTTAAGTCAAGGTTTTTGGAACTTGGTTTCAAACTTCATAAATGCCTGTACTACCCTCATTAAATTTGTACCATAGCTTTCCAGGAGGGAGAAGACCAGGTCAGTTTGCCACTATGTAGTCTTTAATGACAGTGATAATGTGAGCTCAGTCCCTGTACCGGCTAAGGTAGTTTTTGGGGGCTTATTTCTTCTCTTTGTACAATACTGATATCATGATATTCACATGTGCGCAGAACCACATTTAGCAACTTGCAGATGAAGAGGATGTTACACATAGTGAGGAAGAGCCTCTTGAGATCAATTCGATGCTGAGGTACGGTGTCTAAAATCAAAGCAATATTCCAGATGGGGTCTGTCTAACTGACAAGTGATTTCCTCCCTTTGATCCCTTAAAATTAAATCCAACATCCATCTGCTTTGTTGGTTGTTTATTTAGTGTGAGCACACAAATTTTGAATGATTTATGCTCCTTTCCTCTTCTGAAGTTCTTAGTCTCTTGCTATTTAGAAAATATTCCAATCTCTCTCTCTCAGATCCAAAGCTGATGACTGCACACATGGAATATATTCTGGAAGATGGAATTCATTTTTTTTTTTTTAAAAACCACCTGCAATCTGCTCAGTACAACTTATTAGGACTCCTATCTTATTATCTACAAACCTCTCGATAACTTTGTCCAAATCATTAATAAATATAGAAGGTTATGAAGAAAAAGGAGCTGGAGGCCCGTCCAGCCTGCTCTGTCGTTCAAACGCAAGAAAAGGCTGCCAACGTGGACCATTCTGCCCCTCAAACCTGCTGCAGTGCGCAGGAAGATCATGGCTGATTTGTTTGGAATTTGGATTCCACATTCCCATTTACCCCCGATAATCTTTAATCCACTTGCCCAACAAGAATCAAGCTACTACTAACTTAAAGATATTCAACCCCTTTGCTTCCACCACCTAAGGTTGCACTACCTTCAGAAAAAATTCTCCTCCGCTCTATCCTAAAAGGACAACCTCAAATTTTAAAATGGCGTCCCCTGGTTCCAGACTGAGGAAACATCCTTTCTACATTCACCTCGTCAAGGCCCCATCAGGATTTTATACACTTTGACTGGGTCACCCTTTATTCTTAACTCCAGCACAAACAAGCCCAACCCAACTGATGTACCCACATTAAGTACACATACTACTTACAGGTATCCATCTGGTCAAGCTTCTCTGAATTATTTCCAATGTGTGTTTATCCTTCCTTAACTATGGAGACCAAAACTACACACTACGTTCAAGATATGGTGGGAGCAGTCAGCTTGAAGCAGTGGTATGAATACACAGCCCGAGGTCTCCCAGCACCTGTAGCGACATCAAGCATGGGGAGATCTAGCCAACACCGGGGAAGAGAGCCCATTGCGGTCGTGAAGCCCAGCACAAAGGAGATCGAACCCTTGTGGGGATTACAAGGCCTGTAAGGACTGTAACGTTGAACTTGTAACTCTACTTTGTTCTTATAAAGCAGAAAAATAAAGCTTGTTTTTTTTCCCTCTACTTTGTACCTACACTTTTTTACCTAGGTACCTTTCTACCTAAGATGGCGCCAGGAATGGCAACTTTGTATACCTTTCACTGTACTATTGTAACCCTGAACTTGAGTATAGGTGACAATAAAATCTAATTCTAATGCTTTATATAACTGAAGCATGAAATCCTTACTTTTATGTTCAATTCCTCTCATAACATTTGGCATCCCATTAAACTTCGATTACATGCTGCACCTGCATACGAACATTTTGTGGCTCCTGCACAACTAAAATCTCTCCGCACCTCAATTTACAATCATTCTTCTGCTTTACCATTCTTCCCGCCAATGTCAACAACTTCACATTTTCCCACATCATACTTTATCTGCTAGATTTTTGGCCCAAAACTCAACCTAAATATATTTGTCTACAAACTCATCACAACATACTTTTCTATATATTGTTATATTGCTTACAAATTTAGCTACTATGCTTTTGCTCCACTAATCTAAGTAATTGATGTAAATTGTTAAAGCCCACTTGTCACACCCTACCAATCAGGCAAAGACCAATTTCGACATACTGTGCTGTCAGCCAGCTAACCTTTCATCCATACTAATATGTTACGATCCCACCCCACTCCCACCATGAGCTTTTATTTACCATAATAGCCTTTGGTGTGGTACCTTTTCAAATGTTTTCTGGAAATCCAATTATACCTACAGGCTTCTTTCCATCCACAGTACTTTACTATAACACCATAGGAGCAAAAGTAGGCCCGTTTGTTGAGACTGTTTCACCATTTAATGAGATAATGGATAATAATCCTCAATTCCACTTTCCTTCCTAATCCCAAAAACCCTTGACTCCCTTATTTATTTAAAATCTATTAAGCCTTGACTATACTTAATGATCCAGCTCTACAGGCCTCTGTGGTAAAGAATTCCACAGATTCACTACCCTTAGAGGAAACTCCTGCTCATCTCTGTCCGAACTTAGTGATGCCTGACTCAGATCGTGCCCTCTGGTCCTAGACTCTCCTGGAAAGGAAACATGTCACTGCATCTACTTTGTCATGCCTCCTAAGAATCTTGTACAGTTCAAAAGATTACTCCTTCAAAGTCATCTAATAAATTAAACATGATTTCTCATTGATAAAACCATGCTGGTTCCTCCGAATTACCTTGAATTTTTCTAAGTGCAAAGCTATAATCTATTTAATGACCAATACTAATATCTTCCCTAGAACAGACATCAAGCTAATTGTTCTGTTCCCTGTTTTCTGTCACCCTCCCTTCTTCAACAGAGGGATTATATTTACTACTTTTTGATCTAAATGGAACATGTTGTGAATTTAGGGAATTCTGGAAATTTAACACCAGTGCACCTACTATCTCATTAGAAAACTCTTAAGATCCAGGAAGAAGTCTGCCTAAAACCCAGAGACAATCAGCCCATAGTTCAATCAATTTACTTCGTCCACTTCCTTCACAATTCTAATGCCACCAAGCTCCTCTCTCCTTTCTACCTCATGATTTACAGCTAGAGCTGGAGTGCTTTTTAATATCCTTAGTAATATTCTCCATTCTCACTCTCTAAAGGACCAATACCATTTTGCTTTTTTAAATACGTGCGAAACTCTTGCTATCTTTTTCAACATTCCTAGCTGTCTTTCTCTCATACTCCAATTTCCTTCTCCAGATTAACCCTCTAGTCATTCTCTGCAGTTCTTTATATTTTAACTAATCATATGACCTGCCACTCACTTTTGTGCAGGTCTATGCTTTTCCTTGCAGTTTGATGCTTTCCTTATTTAGTTAACCACAGAATGTGGATCATCCCTTCAGAATTTTTCTTCATTGTCGAACTCTCAGCGTAAAATGCTCGCAGCTGGACTTGAACCCAATATCTTCAATCACACTGAAAATCAGACTTGTTCATGAGGTCACCCCTTGGCTATTAACATCTTAATAGTCTGAACACTGTAGGTCCAATTACAGCTGCAGCTGATAGTGTTCAGTGCCAGCCATACTTCACATTACCCAAATCCTGTTCCCAGTTATAACTTAAACCCACACAAATTAAGACTTCCTGCTGCTGAGAGTTATACCATTCGGAATTACTTGAAAATCAGTACACAAAAATTGAAATACAAAAAAAAATCACTTGCTAAATATGTAAATAAGGGAGTTTTTTTTTAAGCCAGTAATTTATTTGTTCTAGCAGATCAAATATAAATGACATGGTAATATCTTGTAATAGCTCTTGTTCAGGCTTTATTAAAAGGTTAGTCATTTGTCAGATAATAGTAGTTAAAGGCAACTGTGCGATGCTATTAATCAAGAACCTCTGAATCTTGGGTTGGAATGAAGCTCAAATGCAAATGAGAGAAACTTTATTTCACACCATCTAGAAGGACAACTCTTCTGAATGCAAGTCCAGGCAATCTCTTAATTACACATGTACTGGACAAAACAATTTCAAGTGAAGCAAGCAACTTTAAAAGATGCAAGTGTACAAGAGAAATAGAAAGCCTGCCTGGTGAGGTACTACCAGCACTTAAATTCATTGTATCTTTACTGTACTAAAATGCCCTAGCAGTCTTGACAGGCGTGTATTCAGACAAAATTTTACACTGAACATTGCAAAAAAATTTTTGGACAACAGGTAGGATATAGAAAGGCAGAGGGGCTTGGGGAAGAAGTTCCAGAACCTGGAGTCCTTTTCACCTTCGCATCCATGATTCACACAATAAATCCATCTTCTACACACAAGCCCCCCGAATATAATGTGAATGAATTTTTTCAATTTAGAATCCTTCCTGGCGTCTAGTCGGTGGGATAGTTGAGCGCCTCAAATAGAGTTGGTTTTATTTATTGGGAGTTGTCACATTCATTCAATAACCTCACCATGTTTCTACTCCACCTTTCCAAAATAGATTTTTAATTCCAAACTAATTCATTTACATTCTTTCTCTGTTTTCTTCTAAACATCTTCACCTCTTCTTGAAGATGTTAAAAGCAGAATAGTGGCCACCTGGAGCAGTGTATTAAATGATCTTATGGAATAGTTCTCATGATAATCACCAGCAACACTTCAACACCTCGAAAGAAACTCAGCTGATGCTCGAGAAAGCTGGGCCCAGCCTTATTCAATTCAAATCTACACTCAAAGACTGCATCTTATACTGAAGACAAATACTAGAATGGCACTGGCCTATCACAATAGTTAAATATAAATCAGAGACCCAAACATATCAAGTTCCAGAGCAGTCTCTGTCTAGTTCAAAATATGGCCAGTTTGCCAAAGTAGAAGCACCACCTGGGCATCATAATCCCTCACACAAAGCTTCAAAACACAAGAGAAAAACCAACAACCAGGTATAAACAGCCATGATTTTATTGAATGATGCAACAGGCTGATTGGTCTCTTCCCATTCTTGTCAATCTCAGCTGACTTTCATATTCAGACAAACGTGAAGATAGCATGTGAGCACTGAGTCTCTACCACCCAGTGGCCTGACACTTAGTGTCTCTTATTTTGCCCCTTGGAGGAAAAGATGATAAACATCTCACCAGAGAGCTTAAATAATCAAAAGATGAAGGTTAATTGATATATAATTGTGCTTTTCTCCCCTACTTTTCCCAAGAAGGGTCACTCCATACACAAGACAGGTTCAATGGGAAAATATCCTTCCTTCATTGAGTGGGCACTAGCTCCAAAAGTACAAGCTAATTCATTCCAAAAAAATCTAATCTTCAATGGCAAGCAGGTTAACCAAATTGCTTTGTGTAAACTGCAACAAGGACCCTTTAAGTTGAGCCTGTAAATTGATATAGGAAAACAAGAGTTTACCTAGCTTCCTATGTAAAATTTTCCAACATACATGGCCAGTCACTCAGATATTTGTAATCAGGAAGTAAGGGAAAGAGAGGAAGGAAATATAGGAAAGAAGTAGCTGAAAATCTAAACACTTACCAGCTGCGAGCTAAGTCGTGTTTGCCACATATCAGCCTGTTTTGGGTTTAGATCAGGACTTGGCAGACCCAGTCTTGATGCAAGAGCCTCCACATACCCTGCAAGTCTGAAGCAGTCAGAAATAATAGAGAATCATTAGATTAGTCAAACACTAATTCATATTCCTAGGGAGGGAATGCAACAGAGTCAGCTCCCAGACCCCTGGCAATGTGTTGTAAATTAGGCACATGTGTATTGGGTTATGCACTAAATGCTGGCCAGCCAGCAACACCTATGTCCCAGTAAGGGCTGAAAAGAAAATAGAAAACCACACGCAGGACCTACTGTGCTTCCAACTGCAGACTAGTTCTGTTTATAGCCATTTTTTAAAAAAAAAAGAATGGTGTGCTGTGCAATAATCCAAGATAGGAGGTGCCATTACACTTCCAAGTTTAAAAGCATTTTCACTCTAACCAAACTGATCGGGACAGACTTTGAAATAAGACAAAATTTGTTATTTTCCATCTCAACCCGGCTTCTATCAACCGGCTGTATCAATTGAATTCAATTGCAAGATTCAGTTCAGTTCACAACTGTCTTCCATCCATGCATTAATTCTTGCAAGCCACAAAACAGTTGGTAAATAGGACTGCAAAGTAAAAAAAATCATCCAGTTTGAAAAGTGAAAAAGACTTGTGTAATTTTGATTACTCTGTAAAATGAGTAAGTACGCAGGGAAAACAGTAGGCAATTTTATCTTTTTCAAAAAAATGAATGGATTCCTGAGGGACCTAATCAGCATGTAAATTAGTCAATTGTTTGCAGATTTCTTCCCTATCCTGTGCCCAGCATTCCACTTGTCTGAAATCTCTTATACTCTTGGGGAAAGAATTATTTAACAGCCAGCTCCCAGAGTGCATGAAAGGGTCACTCAACCTGAAACATTAACTCTGAATTATTTCCACAGATGCTGCTAGACCTGCTAGCTTTTCCAGCAATTTCCGTTTTTACACTAACATGATACCGGCACAAGATGCATAATAGCACAAATGAATAAGTGTAATCCCAACAGTTAGGTGAAGACCTCATACAAGGGGTCAAAAAATTACTCGAAACTGATGTGACCCGTCACATTAGAATACCAATAGATACTCCAACTCTTCAAAATGGTTTTCATTCAATAATGAAATTGCTTTAATCTGAATAGAGCAGGACAAAAATATAGATCTTGCACAAATTAAAAATTAATCAATGAATATGCTAATGCCTTACAGTCTCAACTAATCCAAAGATCTGGGAAAAAATATCTAATGTTCCTAAATCAATCTGCGACTGGCTAATAGACACTAAAACGGATGGCTGTCTGCCGAAAGATGATATTCATTAGTCCAAGGGTGAAATAGGTAACAAAATCCAATGGTTCCGTGTATGGAGTTGTTTTTAAACTAATGTTTTGGCTAATAATCTGTATATAATGTGGAACGGGTTAATAGACTGCAAAGTTTCAAAATTAGCATATATTTTGTACATAAATCCTGTCAGTCAATGCTCTCAGATACCTGTCCAACTACAGAGGTTACTTTTGTACAACTTGCTTTGAACAGAGCAAGTACCTCAGTGCTTCAAACATATTTCTTTTCCTTAAGAGCATGGATAGCTGAGAACATTTTTAAAAAATGTTCTCACGGAATATTGGTGCCACTGGAAAACATAGCATTGACCGCTCACATCCTTAATTCTCTTCAAGGAAATGGTGGTGAGCTGCCTTTTCGATCCACTGTAATCTGTGCAGTGTCAGTACACCCACAGCACTGTTGTAGAGAGCTCCAGGATTCAGACCCAACAATCTACAGTAATATAGTCTGTTCCAAATCAGAATGGTATGTATGTATGAGTGGAACATGTTTTTACTGGGACATGTTCCTATGCATCTACTCCCCCTGAACCTTTGAGTGGCAGAGGACACAGATTTAAAAGGTGCTAACAAAGAAGCCTTGGCAAATTGCTACATCATACCTTGCAGAAGGTACATGCTAGTGCCATGTCATGCCTGTGGTGGAGGGAGTGAATATTAAAATGGTTACTTCTAAAGTAGAGTCACATACAATTTAAAACATTAATTCTGGTTCTCTTTCCGCAGCTGCTTCCAAACCCGCTGACTATTTCCAGCAATCATTCTTTTTTTGTTAAAAACAGTTGGTGGAAGTGAAGTCACACAAGCTGGTTGCTCTTTGATGGTTTTCAGCTTCACAGTTTGGAACCGCATCCATCCAGACAAATGGACAGCATGCTATCACATTCTTCACTTGTGCCTTGTAGTGGGTGGACAGGCTTCAGGGAGTCAGGAAGTGAGTTACTCAATTTCCAGCCTCTGACCTCCTGTTGCAGCTAAAATATTTATAAAGCTGATCCAGTTCACTTCTGGTCAATGAGGTTGATGGAGAATTCAGTGGTGATGATGCCACTGATGATCAAGGGGAGATGATTACACACTCTTGTTGCTGACGGTCTTTGCCTGGCAGTTGTATGGCACAAATGTAACTTGTCAACAACCAAGTCGAGCCGCCACCAGATCTTGTTGCATGTGGACATGGATTGCTCAAGTAGGTGAGAAGTTGCGAATGAGAATGAATACTGGAAACATCAGTGAACAGCTCCAGTTCTGACATGAGGTTTACCTCGAGGAAACCCTACTGTCACGCCCAATGTGATCCTCCAACATCTAAAACCATTTTCCTTCGAAGTAGGTATGACTACAACCAGTGGAGCTTTTCCCCAATACCACTGACTTCAGTTTTGCAAAGGCTGCTTGATAGCTCTCTTGGTCAAATGCTGCATAGATATCAAGGATCGTAATCCTTATCTCATCTCTGCAATGTTCATTATTTTATCAGGGATACGGGGGTCACTAGTAAAGTAAGTATTTGTTGCTTATTGTACTAACGTTTGAACTGCGTGACATGCTGTGGCCATTGCAGAGCCAAGCATGTTACTTTGGGTCTGGAGTCACATGTAGGCAAGACCAGGTAAGGACAGCATTTCCTCCCTGAAAATTTTCATGGTCAAAATCACAGGGATTAACTTTATATTCCAGGTTATATTAAATTGAAGTTAAGCTTCATCAAGTGCCCTGGTGGCATCCATACCCAAGTCGCCAGAGCATTTATTTTGGGCTTGTGGATTGCTAGTCCAATGAAACTACTAATATACCAACTTCCTCAAATTCAGCTCTTTTATCTGTGTTCGCACCAAGGTTGTAATGAGGTCCAGAGCTGGCCGTCCAAATAAAACCCAATAACCTTTAAAATAAAAGTTAGAAGGATAGGCTATATTTGTCCAACTTTCATGGACAGGAGAAATCAGAGTAATTTTCCCCTTTGTCAGGTAGATATCAATCTTGGCTGAGGCACTGCCCATTCCAGAGCACAATATCCTAGTCCAAATACCTCAGGCTGCTTCTTCAATGACCTTCCCTCCATCAAGTTCAGGTCAGAAGTGGGGATGATTGCCGATGGTTACACAATCTTCAGCACCATTTGTGACTCCTCTCTGGAACTTAGAAGAATGAAAGGAGATCAATAGAGGTATACAAGATACAAAAAGGGACTGAAAAAGTAGACGCAGAAAGGATGTTTCCTCATTTGGAGCAATCTAGAACGAGATTTCAGTTTTATGATAAAGGATACCCTTAGGAGAAGTGGTAGCAAATTTAAAATAGAAATAAGGGGAAATTACTTCTCTCATCAGGTCTTGAAACTGTTGAATTCACTATCCCAGAATGCAATGGACACAGATATTGAGTAAATTTCAGAAAGTGATAGACCAATTAGTAATGAGTTTAAGGATTATGGAGAACAAGCAGGAAAGTGGAGTTGAGGCCAATACAAGATCAGTCAGGATTGTATCGTATGATGGAGCAGGTTAGAGGGGCAGAATTTCCTACTCCTGCTTCTAGCTCTTATATTGTGTTGTATTCTCAGATACAGAAGTAGTCCTTGTCCAAATGCAGCAAGACCTGGACAATTCCAAGTCTGGGCTGACAAGTGTCAAGTTACATGCATGCCTAGAAACTGACATTCAATGACATTTTTAACACTGAATCCTTACTAACAATATCCTGAAGGCTATTATTGACTAGAAACTGAACTGGACTAGGTATTTAAAAATGACAGCTACAAGAGCAGATCAGAGGCAAGGTGAGTGGCAAGTTACTCACCTTCTGACTCCCCAGAGCCTGTTCATCGTTTACAAGGCAATGATTATGAGCATGTTGGAATACTCCCCACTTCATGGTTGGGTGCAACTCAAAACATTCAAGAAGCTTAACCCCATTCAGGAGAAAGCAACCCACTTGATCTTCACCACCAACGCATTGCAACAGCATCTATGCATTGCGCTGCAATAACTCACCAAGGCTTCTTTGAAAGCACATTCTAAGCCCACAACCTCTACCACCAGAAGGATAAGTACAGCAGACACATGGAACACCGCAACTTGCAAGTTCTGTTCCAGGATACACAGGATCCTGACATGAACTGCTGCAAGTCAACATCTTGTAACTTTTTTTTTTAAAACAACACTGTTGTTGTCCCTACACCGAAAAGGCTGCAACGAATCAAGTAGGCAGCTCACCATCACCTTCTTTAGGGCATCAAGGATAGGTAATAAATGCTGGCCTGGCCAACAATGCCCTCATCCCATACAATCATTTTATTTTTTCAAAACTAAAATCTTCAGGACTCCAGCCAGCGTATTTTCAGGACCTACAGTCTTTGCTTTATCTATTGCACCTAGCTATTTCTTGACTGTCCACCAACTTTGAGCCAAAATCCTGAAATAACTGGTACAGCAAAAATATGTAGATCAAAAAAATGAATTTACCAAAGTCTAAGTTGAATAGCTACAGTTGACAGTAGCTGATAAAATTAGAAGATGACCATAACATAAGCATTTGTCAGGCATTATGCAGCTCAACAACAATGTTATATTCACATTGCTCATTAAAAAAAAAATGTCCTTGAGCTGAATGCAGTGCCTGACAAGAAACCGCTCACACTCATAGGAAACTGAAGAAATGGTAGAAACATGATAAATACTTAATCTGAAGTCCTTGTGTTTATTATTGATCAAGTTCAGAAGTTATACTTACCCCAGGCCAGCTACGTCAGAGACAAGGTTGCCAAGCGCTGCAGCTGTTTTGTTTAAAAACAGGACAGAATCAAATTAATAGACGGAAGTTCAATTGATTGGGTCTGTTTTTGGAAATAAGTAGATGGCACAGATTTATTTATTTCTACATTAACTTGTCCTCTGCTAAAGGCACATCGCTGATGTACAGTTACTTTAGATTGGAGATTCTTGATGATGCAAGTTGCCGGGGGGACATTGGGACGAACATAGCTAATTCCATTCTCCCCTCAGTCAAATATGCACACACAATGCAGCAGGACTCACTGGAAAGCAACTAGTCAGTCTTTGGCTGACTTCTTACCTCAGTAATCCCAAGATGATGAGAGTAATTTTAGGATCTTTACCACTGCCTTGCTGTGATTAGTAAACTCAGCACACACTGGGAATTGAACCCGTGATTTCTTTAATGGCTTTACGAACAATAACTGGAGCATATAGTGCAGATTCACTTACTGTGAAAAACTTTGTTCGAGCTCACCAATTGCTAAATTCAACACAGTTCAGGACCAGGGAGATGAAGATGGCCTTTGCCATAACATTAAAACGTCCGGCAAACTATCACTCTCGGACACAAACAGATGTGGCCAGCAGCTTCAAAACAATGAAAGCTGATTGGTTTTCAGACATGAGAACTGGTGGTTACATCCACTGCGTGCCTTTAGTGTTAGGTATATGTGATGTCCCTTCAGCTTAGGGCAGCTAAAATCTTATCAACTTCCTTTAAACCTCAGGAATGGAAATAATCTGATTCTGGGGATTTTTTTTTTAAAAAAATCAATCCTTATTTTCTTCATTACTGTTTTTATGCTTACGTTATTTTGGTGACTCCCTGACCCTGCTTGGAATTTAGGTGCCAACTTCTTTCATGACTGAAAATGCTGACAAAATTAATTATTCAACACGAGCCATTTCCGGATTGTTTGTTCATAGCATAATCATGAGACTCAAGGGGTCCATATTGCTCCTGACCAGCCTCATTTTCTAATTTAAGTTAAAACATTGCACTTGAAGCCGCCAATGGTTCTGAATGGATTAATGCCAAAGACTGTATTGAGAGTCACTTAGTAAGATGCTTATAGGTCTTAGGTGGGGAAAGGTTGAATAGCCTAATTCTGTTGTATATTTTATGGTCTTAGGACTTCAGAGTACAGACCTGTTATCCTAAATCTCCTCTAGTACAACGTCTATCATACTAGTTTAATAGGACCTAGTTGCTATCATGCAATAAGTCACATCTTGTTTAAGACAACAGCCTCCTAGTGGTTAGAGTACCTTGTGGTTTTCCTCTATCTTACTAGGCAAAGCAGGTCTTGAGGATCCAAACATTAAGAGGAGGAGCATGGCAGCACATTTACCCGAATGCAACCAAGAACTCAGGTAGCTCAGATAACACTGCCAATGGTGGTCAGCTGATTAATGATATTGCTGCTAGTGTTGATTTCATATCCACGGCTTGTATCATCTGTTTATTTAACTATTGCTGTTATCTATGTCTCGCTTGTTGCCATAATCTTTTTTTTTGCTTTTTCATTATCCGTTTTGCTTTATTTCATGCTGTTACCTTGTACTTTATTTACTTGTTGGGGGAGGGGGGGGGAGGGGTGGAAAGGTGGTAAAAGAGGGGAGATAGAGGGAGGGAGGGAGGGAGAGTGCTAGGAGGGAGGGGGGTGGGGGGGGAAGACAGAGCGAGCACGCGCACGCGAGAGAGAGAGAGAGAGAGCGTGCGCGAGAGAAAGAGAGAGCACAAGAACGCAAAACAGGGGGTAGCGCAGGGAGAGGGGGGTGCAGGAGGGAGAACATGGGGGTGGGGGGAGGCAAGGAAGACCAGCGAGGGCAGGGGAGTGGAGGGGTAAGGCCAGCAGGTGGGGGGAGTAGAGAGAGAACAGAGCGGGAGGAGCGCAGGGGGAGAGCAAGGCCCGGTCGGGAAGAGAAGAGGACAGGGGCGCGCGCGCACACGAGAGAATAAGAGAGACAGCGCAAGAGAGAGAGAGCACGAGAGAATTAACGGGCTTCTCAAAAGCTACTTCTTATTATGGTGAAAAAAAATTAACATAGAATTGCAAGAGTTGACCGCTAAAGTCGAAAAAGGTACAGAGTACAAACGTAAATCATTTTGCACTGCAGTTGACCTATATGCTGAGTGTTATTTGAAGAGATAGATTACTTCCTTGTGGATATCAAGATGCACTGCAGAAATTCATCAAAGATCCTTCCAAACCCACCACCACTTCCATCTACAAAGGACAACAGCAGCAGATACACAGGAACACCACTAACTACAAGTCTCCTTCCAAGCCAGTCACCATTTTGACCTGGAAATAGATTACCATTCCTTCACTTTGCCCGGTCAAAATAGTGGGTTTCCCTCCCTAACAGCATTGTGGGTCAACCCAGAGCACATAGACTGCAGCAGTTTCTTTTTAATTCATTCACGGGATGAGGGCATCACTGGCCAGTATTTATTGCCATCCCTAACTGCCCATAAGGCAGTTAAGAGTCAACCACCTTGCTGTGGGTCTGGAGTCATCTGTAGTCCAGACCTAGCAATGAAGGACATTAGTGAACCAGATGGGTTTTTCAACAATTGACAATGGTTTCATAGTTTCATCCAAGTCTTAATTCTAGATTTTTATTGAATTCAAATTCCACCACCAGCCTTGGCGGGATTTGAACCCTGGGTCCCAGAACATTACCTGAGTCTCTAAATTAACTGTCCAGCAATAATACCACTAAGCTAGGCAGCTCACCACTACCTTCTCAAGGGCAACTACAGATGGGCAATAAATGCTAGCCAACCAGCGATGCTCAAGTCCCATGAATGAATAAAAATAAATCAAACAGTAAACCTGCTACCAAAAGAAAACAAAACTGATATAGTGTCAAATAGAAAATATATGCCTGTCAGCTCCTAAAGACACAGGCATGAACACCTAGAGAGTCAGAAACTGAAGGAAGTGATAACTAGAGCGCTCAGCTGTCTTCATGACCCAGGTTAATGGTGTAACATCTTCTCAGTGTGTCAGCCAACAGAAACATGTGCTTGAGTAAGTTGAAACAGGGAAAAAATTAAGAGGTAATGGAAGCCCAGTGGATATTTGTTTGAAAGTTAGGTACTGTGTGAACTGCTTATATCACAATAATGGGGAAAGATTCTGTCCTCCTGCTGCTTCAGCCACCTAAGCATTCAGTTGCTGCCATGTAAACAGGTCTTTTCCGAGCAGTAATTGCAATGTCATAACATTCAGGTTATGGCCGAAGTGCTGGAAAAGTGGGTTATGTGGGGACAGGTCGGTTTGATAGGCTAAAGGGTCTGTTCCATGCTGCATGACTCTAAGACTAACCCAACTAACTTCCATCTAAGTGTTATACCCATGATTTGCTATACAAGATGACAGCCAATTCTTTAGGGATTGGCCTATTACAAAATTGTGGTGAGAACGAAAAATGTTCCCAAGTACCAAAATTGACAACAACACAGAAGTGATGCAAAGTAGCCTTGAATGGACTAAAATTATTTCAAGAATGCTCACCTGCCATTGTGGAAATTCCAAAAATAACTCCAATGGACAACTCAATCTGCGTCCCCTAAGAAACAGAGCAAAATAAATATTGTAACAGTATTTCACTTATTTTAGCTATGCACAGTAATGTCTGACACATTTCAAAGTATTTTAAAAGGTAGTTAGAAAAACATTGCATATGGTACAAAATAATATAATACTTGATCTTACTATAACGTCTGACAGGTTAAAGTCAAATGTCATGCACCATTTGATCACAAGCTTGAAGGTGTGTTTTCTTCACGATTGTGTTATGACATGGAGACAGCTGAACCAATCAGCCTCTCTACCTCTGTATTTGCAAATCAGTAAAATTAAAACCTTCGAAAGATGATCAAAATTGACCACAAAAAGGTTCCTGACCAGACTTTTCTTTTCATATTCACTTCCAGTCTTTGTGAATAATCAACACCAGCTTGTGGTTTAAACAAAAAAAAACTTAGCAATTTCTTAACAATAACTTTACTAGAGCAAAATTAAACAAAATAATCCAACTTGTCTGTGCTATAAACTCAAAACCTTTGTTTTCAGCCCCATTCACACAAAAGACAAACACGTACAGTTAAGGTATAGATAAAAGAAAAATACCAAAATTAGCCAGATTACTCAATTGGTTTACACAATGTCTTGTTTCACCAGCATAGATGATCATTTCTTGGTTGATTTTTTTTTTTGAGGATGCCAATCAGGATCACCTTTACAGTTCAATCAGATAAACGTAGTAATACTTAACTTAGATTTCTATTCTGAGTTTCCAACAGCGGTTCATGGGAAAGCTGGGCATCAAATCTTCAGGCTGTAGCACCAACAGCCAGATTTCTTCTTACAGAAAATAGTCCAAAACCTAATTCATACTCTGACCACTCCTTCACAAGTCCCAATTACCACACAACATCTGCCACCTTCATGAGAATAAAGTATTTTCCGGATTTATTAGAACCAATTCCAACGTACTAACCTCGAATGGTCAACTTCTGCTACCTTTTAACAAAATTGTTACCTATAGTCTAAAGTCATATTTTGCCCACAGCTCCAAATCAAAATTGATAAAACAGTAAAAATGGAAATAATGAAAAATCAGTGAAGGGCCTATTACCACTTTCCCTTTTCTAGTACAATCCAATCAGCATCTTCAATTTTTAAACAGTATCTCCAATAATTCCTGCTAAGAATTCATGTAATTTATCTAATACCTGGTAAAGATATTCTATAATGGAATCATTTCAACAAATGTACATCTGAATGAAAACTAAGAGGAGAAAATAGGGACGTCTGATAACTATCTAACTTGTGGATTGTCTGGAGGATCCTGTTTACTTCCGTTTTTTGTTAGAAATTCATTTCCAAATTTGAGAAAAAAAACGAATTACAGGGAGTTCTTTAAACAACTGCAACAAGAAATTACAGTTTCTTGCTGCAAACTTTATTTAAGCAAACTGACATTTGAAAACAGTTGTGATCATGATATTGTCCCTTTGTAATTCCTGCAGTAACACCATTCTCCTGCAAGCAATTCTGCAAACAAGACCATCCAGTTGCCCACTTTTATTTTTTTCACTTTCAGAACTATGATGGGGTATTTGAAAAATAATTTTCTGGGATGTGGCCCTCACTGGCCATTTGTTGCCTATTGTCTCATGTCTTCATTTTCCATGTAGCTGGATGATCTTCTGCCACCTCAATGCCATAACATACACCTTTCCTTATCCTCCAAGCTATCCAGAGAAACCAATCCCTCCATGACACTCTGGTTCATCCTTCCAGAACCTGTTTTCCTCCCCCAGGCACTTTCCTCTATAAGCATGGGAGATGCAACATTTCTTCAGGCATTTAGCATACCATCATGCTAAATCAGCATACCCTATCTACTAACTATTCTAAACTTCATTATAATCAGGAAGGTTTCACAAAAATGCTTTATTTGCAAGTCTGATCTTGCTCTTACTTGCCAGTTTCATTGCCCACCTAGCTCTCATTCTGACGTCCCTACGTTTGCCTTCTGCACCGCCCCAGTGAAGCCAAATACAATCTCAAGGAACAATACAGTACTTTTTTTCAATGTCTTTTTCAAGTCTCTAACCTCAAGTGTGTTTAACAATTCCATGCCATAACTAGGCTCCTATCTTCTTTCTGGCAATCAGTGCTAACAATAAAGGATAATTGGATGGTGGGGTTGGAAAGCGAATTGATAAGGATGAGATAGCAAGAACTGCAGGACGCTGGAGTCAGAGATAGCACAGAGTGGAGCTGGAGGAATACAGCAGGCCACGCAGCATCAGGGCAGAAGGAAAGTTGACATTTTGGTCTTCAGAAATTATCATTTAAAATTAAAATGCCATTTTCAACTTATCACTTAAAACAATTGTTCCGGTCCTTGAGTGACTTCACTTCAGCCTGCTTTTAATTCTAAAAAACACTTCTCTATATTTTAGAATTTGAAAACTTAAAATTATGGCACAGAAATAGGCCATTCAGCCCATCCAGAACAAAGTAGCTGCTCTTTCTAATCCACCTACAAGCACCTGGTGCTTGGTTTATCAAACGAAACCATTCAAGAATGCGAGAAACAAAAATTGGCTACATGTTTAGTTTACACAGGTAAACCATTTCCAAGGAATGCCTAATTCAGCAGATCACTGGAAGGTAGACAGACACAGTTAGGTGTAATGCACCATTCCAGTTTTCACAGGGCGGTATGGTTGCTCAGTGGCTCAATGCTGCTGCCTCACAGGTCCAGGGACCCGGGTCCAATTCCACCCTTTAGTGACCGTGCATGTGGACTTTGCACACATTCTCCCTGTTCTGCGTGGAGATCCTCTGGGTGCCCCAGTTTCCTCCAACCGTCCAACATTGTGCAGGTTAGGTGGATTGGCCGTGCTAAATTGCCCGTAGTGTCCAGTGATGTACAGTCTGGATGGATTAGCCATGGGAAATGCCGGGTTACAGAGATTAGGTAGAGGGGTGGGTCTGGGTAGGATTCTCTTCAGAAGATTGATGTGGGACTTGAATGGCCAAACGGCCTGTTTCCACACTCTAGGTATTCTATAATTCTAAATAGTCCCTGGTTGCCACTCTTTCAGATGTCACCTTATTGAAGTCATACAAAGTTTTTTTTTCCCCAGTTCAAGCCCATATTCTACTGCTCTGCAGTGAAGCACAGTGCAAACATATTTTGCTTCTGTACAAAACCTATACAGTAAACTGAGCCCTGAAATAGAGATCACAGTATGGAAGCTGGCTATTTAGATTAACTGTCCAATGCTAATGTTTTTTGTGCTCCACACAGGCATCTTCCCACCCCAGTCAGAATTTCCTTTCTAATTGCTTCGAAATGTCATTTAGGATCTAGTCACATTTCTTAAAAAGCTCCCTATAATAAGCAATGCAGCAAAGGACATAGGATAAGTACTTACTGCAGCAATCATTATAGCATTGTCCAGGAAACCAAATCCAATGAAAGGTATTGCACTGTGAAGAAACACTGCAAGATATAAACAAAGTTGTATGACAAGTGTTTTCCCCAAGCAAGAATTCAATTATAAACTCAATATAATTAAACATAATTTATGATCACAACACAATTCTAGCAGTCAACTTAAAATCAATTTATTTTCAAAGTTATCAAAACAAAACAATACTGATTTACACATTTTTTAACATCTGGATTTACAAATATATAAAATACTGAATCGTAAATTCAGAAATCCCTCTCAAATCCAAATCATCATCAGTCAAATTACCTGTCACTTAGATTTGACTTTCAACATATTTCACGAAAAGGTATGGGGGAAATACAAAATTTATTTTCTACAATTACCATTCCTGTTGAACAACTTTAGACGTTTTCTTTTCTCCTCTTGCATCTCTAACTTGGTAATTCTGCAAGGGAAACTGTGACACAGCAGAGTAGTGGGCTGACCTCAACATCAAGATGCTGTGATCGGATGTGTCGCATTGTGTTCCTATATGGTTTTCGAAACTCTTGGGAATTATTGTGCATGTCCAGAAGCGAAGAGGAGATTTTAGATCAACTTACGTTAAGCTAATGCTAGTAAATTGAACTCAGTACACAAGAGGTGGATCCATATATCTTTTGGGAATGAGAATTACAAGTCAGTACACAGAATTAGATCCAACTCAACAAACAGAAGAAATATAGTGTCTCCTGAATTACAAATCAGCTTGAGATAATTGGAGGTTCGTTAACATCATTCCAACTAACATTCACACTGTGTCAGGACTGGCTCTTCAAATTTGGCTCAACAGTTGGAAGTTCATACCCTGGTTTGACGGGCCTCTCAACCCGGCAGACATTAAAAGATGTCAAGCCTCTGGTTTCTGATCCAACTGAGCAAAGAGTTCAGAAATAACATTGAGATCTGATAAATGAGTCAGACAGAGAAAGGTTTAAGGCATCACTGAACAGATGCAAAAAAGGCAAAGAATTTATCATTTTGATAGCTACATCTATTCCAATGGAATACATTTAGATTTCTTATACTAAATGAAGTATTTCAAATGGGTTGCAATTACTTATGAACCTTATTCTCAGATTAAGCATTTTGAAATTAAAAATATTTGCTAGTTTCTCATCGGCCTAGTCTCAATTGGATGTTCATATCCTAGAAGCCAAGAGAGAGATATTAGGGCATCAGAAAGATTACATTATCCCGTTCAAGAATTTCAATGTTGTCACCTATTTCCCATACCCACAATCTTAAGCTAATCAGTAGCAATTAGATAATGGTGAATTGATGCCCAATATGAGCAGTGCCTGATTATAGGCGATATTAGCTACACCAAACCAAAAGAATATTAACTACAAGATTTGAAGTTGGTGTTGTTCTTCAGCTTAATTCAAGTAAAAATAAAATTTGTAAATATATAGTGATTGCTTTATTGCACAAAGCTGAAGACCACAATGGTTATAAAGCAGAGATGCATTACCATATCTGTACTGTGCTGACGATGGAGGCTTAACTTCCATTTCTTCTGCAAAGAGAAAAGGGAAATGTTTAGACCTGAATAAATAACTGCTTTTTCTGAATTGCACAACAAAAAATGGCACACCACTAGAACACACCGTCATGTAGCACAAAATATTTAAGTATAAATGGGATTGACAAAGATGATAAAAAAGGTACCCAACCTCTAATCTCAGAGGGTAATCAATCATCAGACCTGAAGCCATTTTGTACAATGCCCAAATTTCAGAGGATGCTAACATCATCCATCACGGTGTTCCCATGTTGCAGAATTTCACTATGTCACCCACCTTAAAATATCGGCTTTATAAACATGTTCTGATGCATTTTCCCTATTTTTAACGCGTCCCATTTATCACCATTGTTTATGCCACTCTCTAAATTGACCCATAATGAAAGGAATTGAGCCTACCTAAAATGTTTCAACATTAAGATTCCACCAGAAACAGGGAGAAGTCTAAAGCTCAGACTGATTCTCTATTACCAGACTGAACATGTTAAATCTCAAAAATGATTATTTGTCCTTACCTGTATAATTAGAACTAAAAATGTCATGTTCATTTGCCAAGACCCATTACCAGTTGCAAACTTGAGATGGACATCATACCCGTATTGCTGACGCTGGATGTTCATTTTATAGTGCATACTTTTAGGGGTCACTGATGTATCATTTCAGATATTTAAGGTATACAAATAGCATACAGGGGAAAAAGAAATAATTCGGCCTACAAAAATCAACAATCAAGGCTACGATTTGCACAAACAATCCTCTTTAACCATAAAGCAACTTGCCAATGCTTCAAAAAGTAATTCAATAGAATTATTTCAACATCTTCCTATTAATTCAAATCATTAACATAGACATGATTAATTTCAGGCCTTGATCTGAAAAGAGTTCTTATTTGATTTTTTTATTGAAAAAAGTTAATATTTAACTTCTGGTTATACATTTCACCCTCGTATGTTTGAATTATGGTTCACATGTTTAATATTGGTGACATTATATCAGTTTGCTTAAATAGTGCTGGAGATCTTTTACTTCTACTAAAGAGGGTGGTATGAGAGTCTTGGTTCAATGTTTCAGAAGCCTCCAACAGTACAGACCTCCTTCAGCTTTGAACTGAAGTGTCAGCCTAGACTAACTTGAATCCACAACGTTCCGACTCCCGAGCATGCTTTCACTATAAGACCATAACAAATAGGAACAGGAGTAGGCCATTCAGCCCCTCGAACATGTTCCACCATTCAACGTGATCATGGCTAACCAGTGCCAAGACTGATAAGGATTGTGACCCAGCATTAACTAGTTTTTCCATTTTCTCCATTGATTGCCTCAGATAATGCTCTCCCACCTGCTCAAATCGCTTATGCTCACCATGGATGTTGGAAGTAAAAGTCTCTAACGTCAGAAAAAAAATTGGGCACAATTTGAAGTTGATGATCTCGGCTGTGTGAAGGAGTTGAATTGTGCACACAGCTGAAGCGCTAAATGCCTTCAACTGTTAATTCAAGGCTTGCAATACCACCCCTTCACTGTACAAGGTGCAATCCTTTTTATTCCCATTACCAACATGGAAAGACCCATATGCCTGTTATTATATTTGCTCTTGAGTCAAAGACGCCTTTTGTGACTTGATGAAATTCAAAGACATCTTGTTGATAGAGTCTGCAACCTAACAGCACAGATTGAGTCACGGTCTTAAAACCTTTGCTTGATATATACTAAGGTGTGATTAGACTACAGGTCTGATGTAACAAACAAACATCTGAATTACTCAAGTCCTTCTGTTTGTCCTATTATAATTAGGTCTTGTAAAATTTGCTGTGTTTAAATTGTGTCAATTATACTTTTATTATGCATTCTTGAACCAGATATTACTAAGTTTCAGCCAAATAGGACTAGCATCCTAGAGAGAAAATGATTGGATTCTGGAAAAGAAAAATTAAGTAGAAAGATGAATTTGCTTGGTGCTTTTTTGTGACTATTGCATGGAGAGTGTAAATTATTCATCATTTTGAAGAACATGAAACATTTTCAAACAGCTGTTTGCCGATTCTGGAGGATTATACATAATCCATCTGACCCACATTTGTAACATTACTTGTCACTAGATATTGCAGATGAATTCAAAATAAAACTGTATTTCAGATGCCACAAGTTGCAGATTTACAGAAACTTTTTCTTTCAACTGTTCCTACATACAGTCTATATTATCTATGATCAGAAAGGTTCTGTGTGAAATCCAAATTACACGTATCTGCAAGGGTTAAGTTACTCCAGCCACAGTAATCTGCTTAATCAAGTCAATAGACATGTACTAAAAATGCTGGTTGATATTACTCAGAAGAAATAGTTTTATGCCGTTGATTGGCTTAATTTTTAACTTGGTGCTTTAAACCGAAATAATTACTAATATGTAATAGGCCTAAGTACATTTAGCACTTTGGAATTAAGGTTAATTCAGTACACTGATAAGTTTGGATTTCTGGAAATACAATTCTTATTTATCTGGAAAATAAAATGTGACTTTTTAATAACTTGGCTCCAGGAAGCAGGAGTTAAATGTGAGTCACACGTTAGCAAATGATTCTTTTAACTGGAAATATTTTCATAAGGTTCTGCAGAGTCCCATTGCCTTAGATGTATCCATTAGACATAAAACAGACAAATTACCTTGCAGTGCCTTATTACTTCGTTCAAAGCAATAATCTTGGTAAACTAACAAGGAAACACTATAATGAAAATGATGCTCCCACAAGTAACTGTGTTATTATAAACTCCAGAACTTTAATAACTGTTCATGGATCAAAAGAATCAACAAACAAACGGTTACATATGGAAGGAATCAGCAATGAGTTGGTCTGGAATAAACTATTAAGGGACAAGGACAATACACGCGTTGAAAGCAAATCAACCATGTCTGGGAAAACGGAATTGAAGCTTCATGAACAAAACTTGTTTGATATCCGATTGGTAACTGGCTGCTTTATGCCACAAAAATAACTGATTGCCCTGCAGAAGAATTTAAGGAACTGCAGGAAAGATGTGTCTTCAAACAGGCAGTTAATGCCTAATGTAACAAGGAACAAAGAAGCTACTCCTACTAAGGCGGCAAGCTGCAGACTTTCAACATTTGGGATGAAAAAAATCGAAAGAATCATCAATAGCATCACATCATAGATCCAAAGGACAAAAACCGTATGAGAATCCAACATCAGAACAACTCAGCAGCAGAATGTCAAAGAACAAAACTGTACAAGGATCGAACCCTGGACACTTAGAGACAGACACTGTTGGTTGAAATCGTAGCTGAATTCCACTGTTAATCAGATCATAGACAAGTTGAATTGCGAGGCTTAACCTCCTTACTTGTGGGAGTCATATTTTAGTTGCTACCATGCAATACGTAGTTTGGATGATGCCACCTTCCAAAACAGCCCTGCTAACATGACTTCCTTCTTTCATAACCATAGTTTCCCGCTCACTGTGGTTGACAAGTCCCTCAACCACATCCAACCTACCACCCGTGCTTCTGCCCTTGCCCCTTCACCTTCACAACAGCAGGATAGGGTCTCCCTTGTCCTCACTTTTAATCCCACCAGGCTCCACATCCAAGGGATCATTCTCTGCCAATTCAGACAACTCTTGCAGGATGTCACCAAACACATCTTACCCTCACTGCCTGTCTGCATTTCGCAGGGACTGTCCCCTCTGGATCACCCTGGTCTGTTCCTCGACCACAAACACCACCCCTTCCTACGGCACCTTCCCTTGTGACCGCAGAACGTGTAACACCTGCCCCTTCACCTCCTCCCTGCTCACCATCTAAGGGCCTAAACATTCTTTCCAGATGAAGCAGCATTTCATTTGTACCTCCTCCAATCTAGTGTATTGTGTTCACTGCACCCAATGTGGCCTACTGTACATTAGAGAAACCAAATGTAGACTGGGTGACCACTTTGCAGAACACCTCTGGTCTACGCACAAGCATGACCCAGACCTTCCCGTAGCTGGTCATTTTAACAGCGCCCTGCTCACATGCCCACTTGTATATGCTCAGCATGCTGCAATACTATAGTCACAGTTAAAAAAACTAGTGAAACATCTCATCAACAGAACAGGCACTTTACAGCCTTCTGGACTTAATATGGAGTTCAACACCTTCAAGTTGTGAACCAACTCCCATTTCTTCCCCTTCTTTTAGCTTTATCACATTCTCTGTCACCATGTCCTCATTCCCCCCGCCCCAACCCAGTGGGCCTGTCTGTTTTTAAGTCTGGTGGTTAGACACACCATTATTCTGTCATCCTCACATTCTGATCACTTAATCTGAGCTATCAACATATTTTCTCCACATGCACTCTACACCCCACCACCTCCATACCTCCCAAACAATGGCATAAATGCTGCCTCTTCCACACTTCACTTCAGCTCTGATGAAGAGTCATCTAGACTAGAAACGTTAGCTTGCTCTCTCTTCATGGATGCTGCCTGACCTGCTATGATCTCCAGCATTTGTTGTTTTCAGTACAGATTCCAGCATCTGCAGTAATTTACTCTTTCAAGGTAAATCATTGTTTCAGTACTTAATGGTTTGAGAGATTTCTTAATAAGTAGCCGAATTAAAGGGAACTTATGGTGATTTACCCACAATAGCTGTCATCTTAGGGAACTAGTCAGGAGATATCACTACTTGTTATCAGTAGGAAAACCACCAGCCTGAAAAACTGGATACATAACAGCTAACCAATCTGAGACTGATCACATGCTTTCATGTATTGATAAACCAATCAGCACTCAGGATAGCACCGATTACCCACAACAGCAATGATTAGCAAGGGTTCGTAAGCACGTCTCCTTGGGTGGGTGTGCAGTAAGAGAAGGCAGAAGAACAAGATCAGTCAAAAGAACAGGACAGGACATGACACGACACGACACAGGTACCCAATTAGCCAGAAATAATGATTTGGTATCCCAACAAAGACCAACTGATTCTACTACCCACA